CCTTTTATCATGAATTGACCTTCTTTATCCCTGGTGTGTTAGTTAATTTTTCACCACAGTGATCCAAACACCTCACAAGAACAACTTGGAGGAGCGAAGATTTATTTTTGCTCACAGTTTCAGAAGATACAGTAGATGGTCAGTTGCTTCCATCTGCTGAGTGAGGCAGATCATGGTGGAAGGGTGTGGCAGAGGAAAGCTCTGCTCAGCCCATGCAGCCAGGAAGCAGAGAGGGTGGGGAGGGGAGGGAGGGAGAAGGGAGGAAGAGGCCAGGGAGAAGATCAACCCTTCCAGGACGTGTCCTCAGTGATCTACTTCCTGTAAATAGGTACTACCACCCAGTAGTCCTTTCAGCCATCCATGGATTTATCCTCTGATGAGGTTACAGCCTTCATGATCAAATCACTTTCAAAAAGCTTTACCGCTGAGCACAAGAGACTTTTCAGGACATTCCAGATCCAAACCATAATACCTGGTACTATTCTTTGCTCTGAAATCTACTTTGGTTGGTATGAATATTGCTATCCTAGCTTCTTTTGATTAACATTAGTATGGGGTTCTTTCCTTTCCATTTTAGTCCATTTTCATGTTTCTGGGGATTGAATTGAGGGCCATCCTACCACTGAAGTTACATCCCTAGGCCTCTAAAAAATTTTTGGATTTTGAAACAGAGTCTTGCTAAGTTGCCCATTTTGGCTTCGAACATTCATCCTCCTGCTTCAGCCTCTTTAGCAGCTGGCATTAGAAGCATACACTGCTGCATCTTTATTTTTAAGGTGTGCTTCTGTTGGCAGCCTACAGTTGAATCTTGATTTTTATACAATTTGACTATCTTAGCAACTTAATTTTTTTTAATTGATAAAAATTGTATGCATATGATGAACAATATGTAGATCTCACATGTATGTGAGTTCATTTGGCATTGATCTTTTTTAATTGCAATGTTTAGAATGCTTATAACTCAAATCTCTTTTAAAATAATTATCTTTAAGTAAAAATAAATGTGGAGTTTATAACATATATAAAGATAAAATATGAGGCCACAATAGCACAAAGGTGAGAAGAAAGAAAGATGTATACCACTGTAAGGATGTTTTTCTTCCATTTTTTTTTTTTTTGGTGTATTAAAATTGTACATACTAGTGGGACTCATTATTACATATTCATATATGTTCACAATTTAACAATATAATTTGGACAATACCATTCCCCAGTTTTGCCCCTTCCCCTCCCCTTATTCCTCCCCCTGGTTCCTTTCCTTTACTATACTGATCTCCCTTCAAATTTCATTAGACCCCCCCATTCTTCTTTTCCTTTTTCCTCTCTAGCTTCCACATGACAGAAAACATATAATTCTTGACCTTCTGAGTTTGGCTTATTTTAGCATAATGTTCTCAAGTTTCATCCATTTTCCTGCAAGTTACATAATTTCATTCTTCTTTATGGCTGAATAAAACTCCTTATGTTTACATATCACACTTTATTTATTCATTCATCCACTGATGGACAACTAGGCTGGTTCCATATAGTATACAGAACTATACAGTATACAGAACTATACTGTAAGGATCTTGTAGGTCAAGTAGTATACCACTTGAAGATAAACTGTAAGTTAAAGATGTATACAATAACCTTAAGTCAATTACTAAAATAACAAAGTGATGAACAAACAGCTAATCAGGTAACAGATAAAGCAGAATAATAAAAAGTAATCCAAAAGGATGAGGAGGAGGAGGAGGAGGAGGAGGAGGAGGAAGAGGAGAAGAAAGAAGAAGGAGGAGGAGGAGAGGGGAGGGGGAGAGGATGGTGGTTGGGGAAGAGGAGAGTGGGGGAGGAGGAGGAGGATGGGGGAGGAGGAGGAGGAGAGGATGGTGGTTGGGGAGGAGGAGAGGAGAGGATGGTAGTGGGGGAGGAGGAGGAGGGTAGGGGAGGAGGAGGAAAAGGAGGAGGAGGAAGAGGAGGAGGAGGAGGAGCAAGATGATGGATTTAAGCTGCCATACCAATAATCATAGTAAATGTTCTTTGCCTGGCATGCTCAAGTTCTGGGTTCCATCTCCAGCACTGGGGGAAGGGAAAGGGGTAAATGTTCTAATTGCCCCAAGTACAAGTCAGAGACTGTCCAGGTGGATGAAAGAGCAAACCAAGATGCAAAAGTACTGGTTAGGTACCTCACACAGTTTAACTGATTCAACCTAACAAGTATTTGAAGTGGGTATTATTCCATTTCAAATATTTAAAAAAATGAGCCTCATTTATCAGTTCTAATAGTCTTTTGGTATAGTTTAAATTTTTCCATATATAGAATCATATCCTACAAACAGGGATAATTTGACTTCTTCCCTTCCTATGCATATGACTTTATTTTTTGTCTTACCTAATCGCTCTGTTTAAAACTTCTAGTATTATATTGAAAAAGAACAATGGGAGTGGATTCCCTTGTCTTGACCCATTCACAATAACTATAAAACAATTCTAAAATTCATACCAAAAGACCCTGAATAGCCAAAGCAATCTTGAGCGAACAGGAAAAAGCTGAAGGCATCACAGCACCTAATTTTAAGATATCTTATAGAGCCACAGTAACCAAAAGAGCATGGTACCAGTATAAAAAGACACAAGACCAAAGGAATAGAATACAGATTCCAGAAATAAGCCCGTGTATCTAATTGATTCTCAACAAAGGCTCCAAAAACATACATTACAGAAAGAAAAGCCCCTTCAAATAAATGGTACTGGAAAAACCTAATGTACACATACAGAAGATTGAAACTTGACTCCTCTCTCTCAGTCCGAAAAAAAAAAAAAATCAACTCAAAATGAATCAAGGACTTAAATTTAGAACCTGAAATTACTAGAAAAAAATATAGGGGCAACACTTAAGACAATGATAAAGGCAATGATTTTTTTTTTTTTTTTTTTGGATAGGACCTCAAAAGCACAGAAAACAAAAGCAAAAAATTGACAAGTGGGATTATATTGCACTTAAAAGTTTCTATAGAACAAAGAAAATAATAGAATGAAGAGACAACATACGGAATGGGAGAAAATATTTGCCAACTATTCCTCTGTCAAAAAGTTACTACCCAGATTATACAAGGAACTCAAAACACTTAAGAAAAAAAAAGTATTAGGGCAAATGATCTGAGCAGTTACTTCTCAGAAGAAATACAAATGGCTGAAATGAAAAAAATTCTCAATGTCATTAGTCATTAGAGAAATACAAATCAAAACTACAATGAGATGCCGTCTAACCTCAGAATAGCTACTATCAAAACAAACAAACAAATAAATAAATAAATAAATAAATAAATGCTGGAGTAGATATAGAGAAAAAAGTACTAAAGAACTTTTATATACTGGTGGTGGGAATGTAAATTTGTGCAGCCATTATGGGAAACCTATGGAAGTTCCTAAAAAATTTAAAACTGGATCTATCAAATGATCCAGCCAAACCATTTCTGGGTATACATCCAAAGGAAACAAAACCAGCATACCAAAGAGACACCTGAACACCTATGTTTATTGTGGTACTATTACAATAGCTAAAATGTCCATATACATATCCACCTAGATATCAGTCTAGGTATCCATAACAGATGAATGGATAAAGAAAATTTGGTCTATTTACTCAATGAAATATTATTCAGCCATAAAGAACATCTTGTCACTTGCAGCAAAATGGATGAACTGGAAATAGAAGACATTGTTAAGTGAAAAAAGGCTGACAGGAAAGACAAATGGTGAGTGTTCTCTCTCCTATGTGGAAGTCAAACTGAGTGCAGACTAGAAATTACAGAGCTTGGGAAGGGTGTAGGGCGGGGAAAGTGAATATAGACAGGTTAGATTTGATCATGCATGCTGTATGCATATTATGGAAATATCATATTGAGCCCTTTGATATGTAAAATTGATGCATACTAATAACTTTGATAAAATTATAATTAAAAAGTAAAAAATACTTTTTAAAAGATCCTCAGAAAGGTTCAAACAACATAGTAAGGTACTATGAAGTGCTACAGGTCCATAATACTTGCTTCCTTCTCTCTTCAGTACAACACTGAGTACGTGCTACATTGAGGAACAGTGCTAGGTGCTGCGTTGCATGGAAACTACAATTGTCCAGGAAGATATCCAACTCCACTAGCTGTGTCACCACTGGCTGCAAGTTATACTTCTTTAAAAAATCTTTTCATATTTAGGATGAAAATAATGAGCCTGATAGAGTTATAGTGATGATAGCCTGAGAAAGGCCAGTGGATAGGGTGTGTTAATTGAGAGTAGCTATCTTTGTAACTTTAAACTATACTCTGTAGATTCTAGGAGAGATACCAATTTGTGCAATCACACATCGAAATCTAAATACTGTTATTCAGATTTTATTCAGAAGTGACATTCATTATTTTTCTGTTTAGCCTGTAGCATCACAGAAACATATCATATAAATAATTACATCATTTTACTTTATAGCATTTTATGAAGCTTTGGTTTCTTCTTTGAGAATGTTACTGATGAAATAAATCACTTTTTTTGTTTGTTTGTTTTTTTAAAGCATGGTGGAGTTACTGGGAATTGAACCCTTGGGTATTTTGCCACTGAGCTATATTCCCAGCACTTTATACTTTTTATTTTAAGACAAGGTCTCATTAAGTTGCTAAGGCTGGCTTTGAACTTGTATCGTTCTGCTTGGGCCTATTTAGATGAAGGAATTAAAAATCAGTTTGTGCTTGGCAAATCAGTTTTGTTTTAAAGAAAGCTTTCAACCCAACAGCTATATTTATTAATAAAACTTTTTTCATGGAGTGAAAATGCCAATCCCACTTCTTGCTTTCCAAATTAAAGAGTTCAGATTCCTTGTACTTTTACCTTGGATACCTGTACAGATACCCATAATGAGTAACTTCAGGTAATATTAATATCATTATAACAGAAAATTTTAAAAAGTTTACCTAACTACTATTTTACATTTGAAATATGTTAAGTGAAAAATCAAAATGCCATCCTGAAAGTTAAACAAAACACTATTTTATTTTTTAAACATAAGAGTGCAGCATCATACAGTACCTTTAAATATATTTTCTTTGAAGATAGAAAATTTAAAAAAGATAGTTTAGATCCAACATGACTGTCAGCCAAATCAGAAGCTAATCAGTCTTCCAATATCACAATAGTGTTTTTTCCTGAACAATAAGTGAAAGAGACAAAATTTCAAATATATTTTATTCAAAATTCTCCAACTAGGAGAAAAGGTAACAATGTTTACACATGCTTTAATAACTTATTTCACTGTACATCTTACGTTCTATACAACAATACAATAAACCAACAAAAGAAAATAAGTCAGCACTTAAATAGGGATCTACCATATAAAAGCATTGAGCACATACAGGACACTAAAAGATGGTATCTACAAAATTTTTCTTGACTGAGCTACATGTAGTATATCCATCTTGTTCAGTTTTTAAGATGTCTACATCTTTCTGACTCATTATGCAAAAGCTATTATGACCTTTCAGAATAGAACATACCTTTTTCATTAAATTTTGTAGATGGGAGCAGAAGGGCTCTATCAATTTTATATCTTTCATCTACTTATATTTTCCCTTTCATGTCACTTCCAGTTTTAAATAAAAATATCTGTGTTTGATATGCTCCTATGTCAACACTTCTCTAGCAGAGAATTATGTTAATTATTTTATAGCCAGTAAAATGGTCCAAACACATTAAGGAAAGTAAAGAAACAGACCACTTAGTTCTGACAAAAATAGCACCTAGAAAAATATCACTTCTGTCAAGTTTCTCCTGCTGCTCTTATGTGATGCAGGCAGCAAGGCAATAACTTCCAATACGTGGGCAGAAATAAAATGTGGAAGAAGACAAAAAACTGTTTTCTGTTCTCAAAAGATCTTATTAGTTAGTGTATTCTCTAATTCATTTTGTAAACTTGGATCACCATGACTGCCAAACAAGGTAAATGATAGACTCTGTATGAGAAAAATAAGTGGAAAGGACTGACCAGTGGAATCTGAACTTCTTCCAAGTAATTATACTTTCCATGGGGGGGAAAAAGGCACAGGAGGTACACATTTCTATTTGGCTTAAAAATAATAAAAATTAATCTAAAAAGTTGGCAACAACTACTAAAACAATTCAATTTCCTATATTTTCCTGGACAGAGCTTAACCATATTGGATGTTGACAACAATGATAAACAAAAACCACACTTTGTTTACCATAATCAGGGACTGCACATAACTGCCTGACATTTTTATATAGACTGAATTCTAAAGACTAAATCTACAAAGTAGGATCTAATGATTAATTTCAATAATTACTGAATTATTGATCAATCTCTTCTTCCTATTCAAGCTAACTTCCTTTCTGTGGAACTGAAAATTTTAAATGCTCTAAATTTGCAGATGATTGCAAAAGTCTTATAGTAATCCTACACACCAAGAAACAGGAAAAAAATGTCAAGTCAATTACTATGATATTTGCAGAAGCTAACTCAGATTTCACTTTGATACGTGTAAACCATTTCAAAAAAAAAACAGTAGTTGTGGTCAAATTTATATACTATTAATATATCTTTAAAAGACAGCAATAGTATTTGTTATAATTGTAAACAGAAGTCCCCAAGAGAGCACATCTAGAAAGAGAGATATTCAATGTTAACGATGCACCTGACATCCCCTACAGACCTCTTGAGGCAACTGTACTGTAACTAACTTTAACTGCAATGCTGAGTAGGACTCTAGGGGCATAACTTGGGGGAATGATGCTTCCCACACCATGGAACTACACAACAGCAATAGTGACTGTGATGAAATATACTTAATAAATTACACATTTAAAAAGTCATTAGGACATCTCGTTCTTGTACACTTGTGTAGAAAGGTCTTCCAAAGATAAAAGAATGTAGGCCTGGTTTGATTTTCTCTGCTAGAGCCATTATTATGTTAAGATCGCCCTCTGCTGTTAAATCAAGGTCTATCTTCAGATTCCGAAGAGATTTAAAGGGCTTTTTCCCCTTCTGCCTACAAATAATAAAAGAAAGAAAGAAAGACCAAACATCATAATACAGCAAATATCAAAAGGGAACAAAACAAAAACATACAAAGGCTTTTCTTCTGTAGAGGACTGTTACTCACGTATCATCTTCTATGTATTTTATTAGTGTCAAGGCTTTTCTGTGAAGGACAAGAAGAAACTGTGCAAGGAAAGTACTCCTGAGAGATAATCCAGGTTTCAAATGAAAGACCTGCAGGAAAATGAAGCATTTTAACACATGGATTTCCTACCATTCTATGTATATAGCATGTTTCCCTGACAGTGTTGGGAGTTACCTGGCATTTTCACTAATGCCCTCTAATATATAGGAGTGTGGTAGTAGCACTAGTCTGAAAGCAATCTGAGTTTTTATAATTTCCTATTTTATCTATTTTGGTGCACTCAAATTCTGCATTTTATATCAAAATATATCCATGATCATTTATTTTATTATGAAAAATCATTATGTAAGTTATTTGATGCTGTATTATCTAACTTTTTCTAATCAAATCTTAAAATTTCCTATTTTATCTATTTTGGTGCACTTAAATTCTGCATTTTATATCAAAATATATCCATGATCATTTATTTTATTATGAAAAATCATTATGTAAGTTATTTGATGCTGTATTATCTAAATTTTTCTAATCAAATCTTAAAATTGAAGCTCTCAGAAGTTAGGCCATGCTCATGGACTATGGTTTTGAAATACATATCTATATTCTAGCATGGGTAGGAGAAATGTGTGCTTATGTAGGGGGAGAGTAGAAGGGTTTTTACTTCGGCATGAGAAACATGGAAATTGCATGACTACAAATTATCCTGAACTTTGCAATATATCCTTAACTTTGCAATATATCACAAACTACACAGACCTGGATCCAAATTTTCCAGTTAACATAAGGATCTCATTATTTCAAAGTTACACGTATGACAGTCTCCTGGCTCAATCCCCAGAACAACATTACAACAATGTTTTGTTACATAAGAAATAAGTCCCAGGTATCTATCATTTTCTTCAAATGTGTAATTAAGTAAATATTTTTTTAAATGAGACAATAAAGATGTTATAATCTAAACAGAAGTATACTAAGTTTTAGGAACATTTTTGGCTCAATAAAAGCAAATAAACAACTTACCTCCCCTCAAAAAACAAAACAAAAAACCAAAACCCCTGAGTGAGGCTAGCATTTGAAATTAAAATATTTATTTTCAGTGGGAATGCTGAATCTTTAATTGTTAATGAGACTAGTCTCTACTAATAATTCATAAGAAAAATGATTTAGGAGCTTTAGAAAGATCATAGAATAGGTACTACAAAAAAGAGAACTTAATTCCATGATGTTTCAAATATATAGCACAAGTACTATATGATATGTTTGAAAAGAAAACATTTAATCATTCTGACAATGGATGGTTCCATGTTTACCTGATCCAGGAAGGCTTTGACTAGAGTGTCTCTGTGTAAGACATCCTGGAAAATATTCCTACAAAGAAAAGAAAAGGTCCAAATGTTGAAATGGCTGTTTAAGACACTTTCTACAACCTCTCACTCCATAGTTAACAAGTTAAATTCATATAAATGGTATATCATGCATAAACGTATTTATTAGATTATAGATGTACATATTTGGAGATAGAAAATATATTTCCAGAGGCTGGCATTGGGTATTTAATGGTACAATGTGTGTTTAGCATGCATGGGTCCCTGAGTTCAATTCTTAGCACCAAAAATGAATAGATAAAAATAAATAAATAAAACATCTACTAATTTATTTCAGAACTCTCATCTTACACATACAACAAAAGTCTTGGGGCTGGGGATGTGGCTCAAGCAGTAGCGCGTTCACCTGGCATGCGCGGGGCTCTGGGTTCCATCCTCAGCACCACATAAAAATAAAATAAAGATGTTGTGTCCACCGAAAACTAAAAAATAAATATTAAAAAATTCTCTTTTTTTTTTTAAAAAAGTCTTAGACAATTAATAAATAAATTGCTAATTCTCACAATCTCACAAAATAATAAAACCAGCAGCAAAAATAACACTAATGTTATCACCAAACACTAAAACAAATCAGTGACATTTCAGTGGGATCAAGGAATAAATCCAGTTGATAATGGGCAATATCACAACCTCTGGGTTAGCATTAAGAGGACATCATCTGCAAATAACATGAAATAGAAACCTAAGAAAGTGTCATCTACCTTGGCAATGACCAAAGAGAGAGAAGTCAAGACATGATACCCACTTGAAATGATTTGTGTCTAACACAGCACCTAGGACATACCAGATGCTAAAACAAGCAAGACTGTTTTCTTCCCAGGCCTCACAGCCTTTCAGCTTTTCTCTTCCATCTTCCTTAGGTTTCATTCAGATCAGAGAGGTAACATAACATTCAATAAACGAAGTAAGTTTTTAAATTAAAGAGAGACTGAAAATAGTAGATAGAGATCATCATATTACTGATAGGAGGGATACAGAAGAGAATGGGTGGTGCAGACTAAGAGAGTAACTCAAGTTTCTTAATTTAGGAGATGAGTGTAACTAACTACAGCAGGAACTGAGAAGGAAAAATCAACATTTCAAGATTATTGGCTGGGCATTAACAACACCACTTTTCAAGCTTTGAGGAGCGAAAGCTTTGTGACTATAAAGCCCAGTGTTCTGGTTTTATTTCATTGAATGAATATCTCCATCATATCAGAATTGTATGAAGCAAAGTATTTAAAATATTTTCAGTGACTGGATTTTAATATATAGACAATGACTAAAATTATTTTTATAAGTTAAGTTGAGGTAGTATGCTTGCCTAGTATGTGTAGGTCACTGGGTTGGACCCCAGCAGAGCAGGAAAAAAAAAAAAAAAAAAAACAGCTCCCATAACATAGAAAAAGTAAGTAGTATTGTTTAAAACCCAAAAAATGGTAAAATGAGTCTACCACAAACTAAAGTTTACACATATTCTTGTAATTGAAACTATTTTTCAAACTTTTATGTTCAAAACATTTAGGGTTGTAAATAAAATTTTAAATTTATGACATTATTATGCAATGTTCAGCAAAACAAGAATAGCTGGCTTAAACATATCTACAAAATAAAAGGAAAACACTAAATGGTTACAAACCCATTCTTTTTTTTTTAAATACAGCAACAACAGAACTATTCTTTTCTTTATTTTTTTAGAGAGAGAGAATTTTTTTTAATATTTATTTTTTAGTTTTCGGCGGACACAACATCTTTGTTTGTATGTGGTGCTAAGGATCGAACCCGGGCCTCACGCATTCCAGGCGAGCGCGCTACCGCTTGAGCCACATCCCCAGCCCGCAAACCCATTCTAAAGTTCACTAAATTCTCTTAATGGAGCTCCTAAGCAGCTAATCAATTAAAAAAAAAAAAAAAATTCTAAACCCTTTAGAAAGTGCAGATTAATTTTGAGGAATCTATATTCATACCCAAACTACTAATATGTGAAAACTCAGTGACATGGAATTCTAATTTGGCCAATGCTTTTTTTCTGAAGCAATTCCTCTAAAACTTTCTAAATAGCCAATGAGAACACTGGAGACCTGAGAAAGATGGACCCTAATTAAGTCATCTTTATGCATATAGAGACCTATGTTGCTGGGGATTCTTGGACATAATGTTCTTATTCTGTGCTTTTGGTCAACATTTTACTATGGCTACTATGCTACATGAGTCTGTTGCCTCAGTTCAAAATTTTCCTTAAAAGCAAAGCATAGAGCTACTCAATCCAATTTTATTGCTGCTTTATATACTTCAACCTGGGTTATTATAGTTATGGTTTTTTGAGTATATTCTATGTGCTAGCACTGTGCCGAGCACTTTTAATTGATTCAAAAAACCCTAGTATACTACAATTCTTTCTCTGACTTCAGAACACCATTTAAGTATTTTCTTCAAGTTTTATAACTATGAATTATCATCATCATGTTTTTTCCTTAACTGATCCACAATCAATATTTCACTGTCATTATTATTCTTTTTAGTGCACTGATCACACTTTGTGGTAAGAAATGACTAAGGCAAATATAAAAATAACATAAAATATATTACATGCAATATAAAACACAAAGCATAAGAACACTATATTAATGTATTTCAACAGTTTAATTTTTTTTCACAATATCTTTATTTGTTTATTTATCTTTTTATGTGGTGCTGAGGATCGAACCTAGGGTCTCAGACGTGCGAGGCGAGCACTCTACCACTGATCCACAACCCCAGAATTATTTAATATTTATGTACAAGAAAAATAGACTTGGAATTACTTTATATAATAATCCTGTTCAGACTATTATACACTATAAGTGGTGAAGGGAGGCTATTTGATGCACTACTATTAACCATACTATTTCCTACAGGCTATGAGCTCAATACCTATTTGTTAAAAAAGTATTTAAATGTTTCTTTTAAGTGCTAATTTTAACTTATTTTAGGGGAAACACAATAATATTTTCAAAATGGATAGCTTTTTTAAAAAAAAACAGTTGATTAAATATTTTTTAAGCATCATTATGCTAGTGATATTTCTTTCCTTTTAAATATAATGTGTTTGTTTTTACTCATAAAAGATTCATATTGTTTGCCAAAATCAAAAGGCAGAGCATTACATACAAATCAGGAGTGAAGCTCTCATCTGTGTAGATGATGGTGTCCTGTGCCATGTCTTCTTCTGAAGTGGCTCTCCAAAATGCTGTCAGCTCTGATCTCATGTATCTACGCTGATTATAAATGTGTTCATGACAGGGTGGCATCTGCTTCACAGTATTGACATCCACATCGATATGTGTGGTGGGATATGGTGCATACATGACTTGACGGAAGGGCAGTACAAAGCTTCCAGTTGAATCCTGTCAGAATGAAAAGAGAACTTACTGTCTTACATGCCAAATGATATGAAGTTTTTTTTTTTTCTAATTAAAGCAATGGCTTTGATTTTATTCTAGAAATTTATCATACCTTACAGACAGAAGTGTTCACTACAATATCAGTTTTAAAGCAAAAACATGAGAAACACTTTAAGCATCCAAAAAGAAGTGATTAAATAAATTTAAAATGAATTTATTATCTGATTGATAAAAATAAATTTACTGAAAAGTTCATGTTGAAATTGGAAGAGGTTTACAAAATATTGTGAAAAAGCAGGTTAGAACATGCAGAGTATAATCCAATGGGGAGAGGTTGAAGAAACTACATAATTTACAAAGCTGAACTAATGTTTCTAGAGATTTTATTGTTTCAATATATTTTTCATTTTTAATTGACACATAGTAATTATACATATTTGTGGGGTATAGAATGACATACATACAGAAGAAAAAAATACTAGAAAGATATGTGCCAAATAATAACTGTGGTTATATCCAGGCATAGTTGTGGTGCATGTCTATAATCCCAGTGACTCAGGAGGCTGAGGCAGGAGGACTATGAGTTCAAAGCCAGTCGGAGCAACTTAGCAAGAGCCTGAGCAACTAAGTGAGACCCTGTCCCAGGATAAAAATAAAAAGGGCTGGGGATGTTGCTCAGTGGTTAAGTACATCTAGGTTCAATTCCTGGCATAAAAAAAAAAAAAAATAAGTGGTTCCTTATTGATTGTATAATTACCTATTGTGTATGAGATACTATGTTATGAAGAGAACACAGAAGCTATTTATATTTTTTCACTCTAATAATGCTGTAGTAATCATTTTTATATTATGTCAAGGTATTTTCTGGAAGGTTATACAATTTAGATTTGCATGGAGAACTCCTGAAATAGTTTTTCACTAAATCAGTTTCAAGTTTTCCATTAAGCATCTGGTACTGATCTCTTTCAGGATAAAATTATATAATAAAATGAGAGGCTGCTGAAGAAACCCTTTATGTTATGCCTTTAGTAGAAAGAAGTATAAATTTTCAAATTTGTAAAACTTAAATTAGAAACATGCTTCTTTAGTTTATTTTAATACTGTTCTTCTGAGTGCAGTACAGGCATTTTATTGTGCTGAATTAATAATTTATAAAGCTGAATTAATATTTCCAAAGACTATTGTTTCAATACATTTTTTATCTTTAATTGATATATAGTAATTATGTATGTTTATGGGGTATAGTATGACATTTCAACACATGTGTACAATGTGTAATGATCTGATCAGGGTAGTATATCAATCACCTCAGATATTTATCATTTCCTTTTGTTGAGGATGTTCAAAATTCTCTCTACTAGCTATTCTGAAATATACAATTGATCGCTGTATTAATTCATAATAACGTGCTACAGGACACTAGAAGTTACTCCTCCTATCCAACTGCATTGTTACACTCATTAAGCATCTTCTCTCCATCCCTTCTCCCCCACACCCTTTCGAAGTTCTGGTAACCATTACTCTATGCTTCTATGAGATCAACTTTTTAGCTTTTACATGTATGTTAGAATATAGATTATTCATCTTTCTATGCCTAACTTATTTCACTTAACATAATGTCTTCCAGTTTCATCAAGGTTGCAGCAAATAACAGAATTTCATTTTTAATGACTGAATAATTTTATTTATCCATCCATTAATGAACATCTAGGGTGATCTCATACCCTGGCTGTTGTGAATAGTACTGTAATAAACACACCAGTGAAGATGTTTCTTTGATATATGGATTTCATTTTTATTGAGTACATACTCAGTAGTAGGACTGTTAGATCAAATGGCAGTTCTATTTTTGAGGAATCTTCATATTGTTTTCCACAATGGAGTGCTAATCTATGTTCCCACCACATGAGAGCTCTCCTTTCTTTTTATCTTTGAAAGCATGTTATTTTTTTTGAATTTTTGATCATATCTACTCTAACTGGGGCTAAGAAGGTATCTCATTGTCATTTTAATTTGCATTTCCCTAGTGATAATATTGAACATTATTTCATTTGTTTATTGGCTATTTGTATACATTTGACAAATGTCGATTCAGATAATTTTTAAATCTGATTACTTTTTAAAAATTTGCTGTTGAGTTGAGTTCCTTATACATGCTGGATATTAATCCCTCATCTAATGAATAGTTTGCAAATATTTTCTCTTTTTCCACAGATTGTCTCTTCCCTCTGTTGACTGTTTCCTTTACTGAGCCAAAGTTTTCTAATTTGAGATTATCACATTATTATTTTGAATTGATTTTGTACAGGTTAAGAGATAGTGGTATAGTTTCACTCTTCTGTATACAGATATCCAGTTTCCTAATACTATTCATTAAAGAAACTTTCCTTTCTCCAATGTGTATACTTGGTCCCTTTGGCAAAGATCAATTGGCTGTAAATAATGTGAATTTGTTTCGGGATTCTCTATTCTGTTTCACTGGTCTATGTTCATGTTTTTATGCCAGTACCATGCTGTCTTGCTTACTATTACTTTATAGTATGTTCTGAAGTCAGGTATTAGGTCATCAAATTTGTTCTTTTTCCTTAAGATTGCTTTGGCTATTTAAGGTCTTTTGTGGTTCCATACAAATTCTAGGAGTGTTTTCTATGAAGGATATCATTGGTATTATAAGAAGAAATGCATTGATTCTGTAGATTGCTTTGTGTGGTAAGAACATTTTTAGAATATTAATTCTAGTCCATGAACACTGGATGTCTTTCCATTTTTTGGCATCATCTTCAACTTCTTTAATCTGTTTTATAATTTTCATTGTAGAGATCACATCTTTGTTTATATTATTCCTAGATATATGTTTTTGTAGTTATTGTGAGTAGGTTTTTTTCTTGATTTCTTTCTCGCAATTTTGTTATTATTATGTCAATCAGTACCATTTGTATGTTGACTTTTTTATCTGTAAATTTACTGAAATTGTTTATCAGTTCTAACAGTTTTTTTGGTGAAGCCTTTAGGTTTTTTGATATATAAAATCAAGTCATCTACAAACAGGGATAATTTTATCTCTTCCTTTCTTATTTGGGTGACTTATGTCTTTCTCTTACCTTCTTGCTCTAGCTAAGACTTCCAATATCACACTGGACAGGAGACACTTATTGCTTACAAAACACTTTTCTTGTTTCTAATCTCAGATGAAATTATTTCAACTTCTCTCTAATCAGTATGATATTTGTTGTAAGTTTGCCATATTCAGCCTTTCTGGCATTGAGATGTGTTCCTTCTATACCTAATTTTTTAAGGGTATGTGCAACATTTTAAAATATTTTAATACTTATTTTCTTTCATTTTGCTATGCCTACATCCTTAAGAAAGCATTTACTATGAAAGAATCACACAACCATAAGGAAAGCATTTCTTCATTTCTTTGCCTATAACTGAGACATCAATAATAAATTCAATAAAGTGCATAATTGCTTTTCCCTTAATTATTGAAAATAATTATCAATTACCTTTATATATTTTAGTCTTTGAAAAATAAACTCAATTAAATGAATATAAAACTTTTTCTAATATGTATTAGTAATACATACTTTTTCAAATGTATATGTTAATATATATATGAATTACTCAAATCTTACACACTTTTAAAGATCTTTAAATTTTTTCAATAAATTTCATATGTAAATACAAAATGGTAACACAAAAATTCAAATTGGTTCAGTAAAAAGAAATATTTAGAGGTGCAACCTAATTCAAGCACATATTTTTTAAAAAATCCTGAGGCTATACACATATCTACACAGGAAACCACCTGGCAAAGAAAAGATATTTCATAGTGTTACACTGACGATACTAAATATATATTCATAAGATAATATAGTCTATGCTCAGAACTATGTAAAGGAAGTCAGTCCTTGGGCATTAAACAAAATACTTCAAGTATTTTTACAGAGTCTCAAAAATTATTTTTAAAAAATGGTTTCACTTGTGATAAATGGAAAGTATACCTTTAGCAGGCCTTGCACAAAGAGTCCTGACTCATATTTAAATGATAATTCTGCTTCACATAATCTGGAGCATTTTCTCTCTGCTGGAGTCAGAAAAAGGCATAATGTTCTCACTATCTATAAAAGAAAAGATTTTAGCATTAAAATATGAAGTATATGATTCGCTTATAAATTTTTTTTAAATTAAAAATTTTAATTGTTTTGTCAATTAACTTAAAATATAAATCCTTTCTTAGTCACCTGGAACAGTCCATAGGATATAACACTTATTGCTTACAAAAAGGTGATTTTTATGGCCAAATGAGTTCAAGATATGCTTAGTAAATTAACTATGGTATCTCAAAACCTGTAACTTTTTTTTTTTTTTTGTACCAGGATTGAACCCAGAGGCACTTAAACACTGAGCAACATCGCAACATCTCTAGCCCATTTAAAAAAAATTTTTTTTTCTTTAAATTTTGAGATAGGGTCTTGATAAGTTGCTTAGGGCCTCACTAAGTTGCTTAGGCTGGTTTTGAATTTGTGATCCTCCTGCCTCAGCCTCCCCAACTGCTGGAATTACAAGTGTGCACCACCACATCTGGTAAAATCTGTAATATTTGAATACATATTGTGACTCTCCAGGTGAAAAATATAATACATACCTTTTCTCATACTTATTTGACATATTTGTATTAGGTTATTAATTTTAGTGGGAATTTATGACCTAATACAGTAATTGGTTATATCTCCACCCAGCAACAATTGTTTTTCAAGCAAGTAAATAACTTTCAAGAATAAAACTAAGTGCATTTAAATTAGCCCAAATTATAACTTATGTTGTAACAGTTCTACATGTAAATCCCATTATAATGAATATCAAGGAGTATCCAAATTCTTAAACCAAAAGAAAATTAATTCTATTAAATTTGACTTAATATAAACATGCTATTGGTGGGGGTTCAGAAAACACTGATTCTAATAGCATCTGACCTAGGGTACAACTAGAAAAAATAAAAATGAGCCATATAACTGTTGGAATTCAGACTAGAGTGATAATGTTAAAGCACTGGTTTTTAATTACAGAAGTGGAAACTTTTCTGTCAAATTAAAAAGACAAAAGGCAAGCTATTCAATCTTAAGAGGATAAAGGATGAGAAAAAAATTTTAAAAAATATTTTTTTAGTTATACACGGGCACAATATCTTTATTTTGTTTATTTCTTTTTATGTGGTGCTGAGGATCGAACCCAGGGTTTCACACATAAGAGGGAAGTGCTCTACCGCTGAGCCACAACCCCGGCCAGAGAAAAATTTTTAATAAACAGAGCCTTCCTCCTTTCATAATGCAGACTGAGAAGCACTTCTAAAGAACTCTAAGGCTTTGTGGGGGTGGGTCACAAATGGGAAGCCACATTTTTGGGGCAACACAAATAAGATTAATAGTCTCTAGATGAAATATAATGAGAGAAGAATATTAATCTCTCATAAATGGTTGTATAAGAGAGATAATTTTGGCAAATTAAGGCTCATGTGAATACATGGGATGACAAATTAAACAAACAAAAATAATGAATAGCTTTGTAAAACAAATAATCACCTCCAACATATCTTGTTTAAAATGTTGTTAAAAAGAAATTAGATTTGCTTAAATTGATAGACATATGCACTTATATCTGGATTCTTTCTAATTTCTAACTAATGGTCAGTGAAGAAAAGTACAAAATATCTTAATTTACCGACTAATGCTTGGAAATATAACTAACCATTCACTAATTATTTACTCAAAGCACTGAAGGAAGTAGTCAAAACATTACTGAATAAAGTACAGCCTCCACTTACCATGTAGAAATACTAGCTCCCTAAAAAGGATAGACATGGGGTAAAAATCAAGGCAATGAAATCAAGATGATCAAATGCAGTTCTTCAGAACTAGTATTATAGGCCAGGCTATATGGGCAATGGCCAAACAGACTCCATTTTACCCTAAGATTCCATGTCATGTAAGAAATCCTTCTCTCCTGGGAACACCCTGCCTCTGTACCCATCAACAGTTGCTTAGCATAGCATGTGTGACAACACAAAATGACAATTCTTATATAATGTAAAATTGTTCTCTTTGATTCCCATTTTTCTTGAACAAAGTACCCTGTCAAAGAATGATTGCCTAGACGTTAGTAACCATTCTTTAACTTGTACTCAACTAGGGTCATTTTGACACACTTTCCCTTCTGTTTATGATTTTAGATCTCATGACATTTGTTTATGGTTTTGAATCATAGCAGCAGCCACTTATGATTAATGTGGTTCTGGAATATAAAGATAGACTCACATCCTGGGATGGAATCGAAGGGTGTAGACTTGTAGCCTGTCCCTTGGCCTGCCAGCTGGTGAATCCAGACTGCCTGCTGGTGAATAAATGTTCCACCTCTTGCTTTAAGATCAACTTAGTGATTTATTGTAATCTTGCCATAACACTAGTACCAAAAGTACATAGCTATCTTTATATTTATTAAAGATAAAATTGGGAAATAGAAGGCATTTTTAAAGCTATCTGATTTTAAAATATTCTCAAAACCCTTTATACACAACTGAGATTGGTGTTTATGAGTTATCAAAATGAAACTGATAACTGAATTCCTATTCAAACAGTTCATTTCAAATTCATTCTGCCATAGGGTGTCACAATAATTTGCTAACATTTTATTTTCTCCTTATACTATTAGACCATTTGAATTATAACTTAACATGTAAATGACAATCCATAACATGTTAGTAGTATTAAAATTCAGATCATAGTCTATGTTATAAAATGAATTACCTTATTTACTTTCTCTGCACTGCTGCCTACTACAACAGAGCAGCCACAGGTTTGCAAGTGTGAGCTGATGGCACTGTAGATCAATAAATAAAACAGATTTAAAACCCTGGCTATAAAACAATTTCATAAATTTAAAAAAATAGTAAATAAGCTTCAAATAACTCAGAGTAGTTTTACATGATAAACACCAACACCATAAGTATAATACTATCTTTTATTTGTATGAAACTTCACATTATCTAGGGGCCTTTCACAGAGATTGTCTCGTTTGAATATTAAGATGACCCAGTTAGTAAAATATTATTTTATACCTGAAGAAACTGATATGTAGAGAGGTTAAAGCCAAATGAGATTAAAAATAATATATGAATGGCTGACTTAATATATTTAATACTAAAGGGTTTATGATTCAAGCTATTAAGATTTTTTAGGTTAAACATGCCTGATACTCCATCATGAGCCTAAAGGAAAAGAACGTAAACATAAAAGTTAATACTTTATTTTTTCACTTCTCATTTTTAAAAACAAAGTTATCTGCAAATGTAAAGAAATATGAGATAATACATGCAAGGCACTTGGTATTAGGAACTAGCATATAGGCGCTCAAAAAATAGAGGCCATTACTACTATTTTCCTTAGAAGAAACATAAATAGAAAATGTGAGCTATTGGCCCATAAGTGATTTTATGTGCCAAGTAGTGTTGTAAGTGCTTTATATGATTTATCTGATTCAATGCTCACAATAACCCTAGAAAGTAAGTACTATTATTCTTCCCATTTTACAGATGAGGAAAAGGAGGCACAGGCATTTTAGGTGGCTTATCCAAGGTCACACAACAGTAACCCAGGCAGTCTGGCTTGAGAGTCACACTCTTAAGTACTAAACTTCATAGTTAGATAAAAAAGATCAGTACAAATAATTTTAACGAATAATTTCCATTTCAAGGCCTAAATTACTTGAGGCTATCTATAATACAACTTAATTCAAGTATTTTTAATTTTAACATCAATGGGAAGTAAAACAAGAAATCAGAACGAAAGGACCAAGCTCTCTTGTCTGGGCACTATGGGAACTCAGTATCTTAAAACACTAAAAGGAGTAACAGCTGATATATCACAATGAGTGAAAAAGTAACACAAATGTTAGTTCAAATATGCAATGTTATCCTTAAATTGTCTGGGGGAGTAGGTATCATTATTTTCTTCCTTCCAAATCTTGTTATGGGTGAGTATATAAGATTTGTATCTGTTTCATTCAGCATTTAGGAAATGAAACAAAATTCTTACTTGAGAAGAAAGCCTTCATGACAACTGTCACCAATATCATCATCATTGAGTACCGTATCAGCTATCTAAAATGCACCCAAAAAATGAACAAACGAAAAAATTAGTCTGGGTAAAACAGGGTTGAGAGAATGCTTTTATACCTAAGTTTTAAAGTCTAGGTTCAATATAACACATTGTCCTCATTTTTGAGCATCAAGAAAACCCATAAAACAATCTCTTTGAACTATCACAACCTTTCAAAGAACAAATGTGAAAGGTGGTCAGTCAGGTTAAGCAACATATTTTATAAGACAACTTCCTCTGCTAAGCTGTCTGTCAGAATCAAGAGACCAACCTCAATGACAAAGTCAGAAAGCAGTAAGAATATTTTCCAAAGATCTCTCTATATACATGCATAATGTGTGATTTAAAATGTTCTCAACAAATGATTAAGGAAACTAAATTAGTGAATGTAAGTAAACTTCCATTAATAGTCATTAATTTGCACATTGCTTTGTTGCAAAAAATACTGTATTAAATACTTTAATGTTTCTATAAATTCTGGAATATTCCCACTTTTAGGAAACATAAAAGTGGTAAAATAACTAAATTTAATTTTGCCATGACTATCAGTGATAAAAAAACTGATCATAAAATTCAGGATTCTATGTGTGCTTATTTGTGGCTAATACTTCATCCGAATAGTATAATGATAAAATGCTTACCAGCAAAATTAGAATGTTATTAATATATATAATAGTAGAATAATTCAGGGGAACTGATAAAGGTCACCCCCATAAGAACTTACATCTATTTCTTCAGGAACACTGTGAGATTTCATAGATGAAAGCAGTTCCATTACAGGAATGACTTCTCCAGTAAGCATTGGAATAATACTTTGACCCTGCACAATAAAGTAAAATGAAGAGAAGACATAATAGAGGACAAGAAGGGCAAAAAAACTTAAAATGAACTTAAAGAATTTTCATGCTATTTAAGCTCATTTTCATTCTTTTAGGAATAATTTTTCTTTAGTAAACATGGACTCTCTGGTTTATCATTTACTATTACATGCAACAAATAAACAACTGTGCCAAATTTAGAAAGAATCTCCTTTGATATCTAATTGAGTTATAAAAACTTTATTAATTAAAGGCAATCAAGTTAAGAAAGTCAAGCTTAAAAAGACTTTGAAACCCTTACCAAATAACTCATTAGTAAAACTTCAATAAATGGCCAACCTCCACATTGGAAACAGGGTATAATCTATCCAAAGACAAATCAAATCATCACAAATATTTTAAAAGTATCTTAAATAAGGGTGATTCCTCATTTACTTACTACCACACCACCATTCAGTTTTGCAACCAATGTAAATATGTGAAATTTTAGAGATGTAGATAAAATTGTCAAATCTCTATTAATTTTTAGCTAGACACATTTAAAATCACATTATTTGATCAATTCAGTAGGTTTTCTTTCCTTACATTTCATGAAATAATTTTATTCAAATTCTTCTCTTGTATCTTCAAATTAGGATCTCTGTTATCCCTATATCCATTTTTTTACTACCTTAACTCAGCTTTTCAAAGTCCCTTATCATTTAAATTGCTTAAGATTTAAATGTGCTGCTAACTTTGGAAATTTTATCCTAAGTTGTAAACCTCTTTGCATAACAGGCATTTTATTATTTTAAAAAATGCATTTTATAGTAACTTCCCAAATTAACCACACTCATTGCTTTTGATTATTAAAATAACTGTTGAAATGCTTGTTTACAATTACAATTAATACAACAAATCTCATAAGAACAATGACTCAATCTGTGTTGAACTTCCATCTTTGGTAAGTGATTTACCAGATGACAGCTATGAACATCCAAAATCAGCACTCACTAAAATTGTTTCATACTATTGTGTCATTCACAAGCAGAATTTATTTTTCAATATAAGGCTGTTGAAAGCACATAATGTGAGACATGCAAGACTCAATTATAAGACAACTCCCCCTTTTCAGAAATAACAATTTTAGGAAAACATTTCCCCTTAGGTTTAGGTTCAGATAATATTTTGGACAAGGAATCTCAGGCATTTATCTGACTCTAAGTAAATGAACAGTCTAATGCTCAATAGCGACAACAAAAATCCTACAAGACTGAATACAGAAGAGGATCTTAAAAAAATACATACATATATATATGTATGTATATGTGTTTGTGTGTGTGTGTGTGTGGGGGGGGTGTATGGCCCCACATACATAAAAGAAACCCCTGGGGATTTCCTTTCCTCCTTGTTCTTCTCTAACTTGAACTTCTGAGTTTCCTCTCTAAAGTCTCCAGTTTGTCCCAAATATCCTTTCCTACTGACACAGAAGGATAAGATAGCAGTTTTAAGAAAAGCCCTTGAGAGAGGCAGAAATTCATTAATCATGGCAGAAACTCATTAATCAACGTTTCTGGTTTAAAAAAAAAAAAAACAGTTTTACTAAAAACAGAATTTTATTTGGTCCTAAATTTCCTTATCTTGAGATAATTCTATTTAATTACTCCATAAGTATCAGGTTAGAGGTTGGTGAACCCACTAAAAGCAGAATTTTATTTGGTCCTCAATTTCCTTATCTTGAGATAATTCTACTAAATTACTCCATAAATATCAGGCTGGAGATTGGTGAATCACCACATTCCTAGGGACCTGTTTACCAACCAGCAAACAAAGTAAAGGCAAGCTTCTCTGGATGAAGGGAAATCTTTTCTTATAAGTTTTAGCCTTTTCCCCAGAATTACCTCATTTGATTTGGAAGGTTATTTACAGAAGTACAAAGATGATAATCTTGCAAAGATTATTTTACAGGCTTTAGTATTTTCTTTGTTAATGCCCCATACGTTCACAAGAATTATTTTGCTTTTTTTGTAGGCCTTGTACATGCTAGGCAAGTGCTCTTCTACTGAGTCACACCCCAGGAAGCCACACCCCTAGTCTCTCATAAGTATTTAGAAAACTAAATGTTTTTAAAGCATCATTCTGTCCCAGTCATACTAAGGAGAAACAGAGCAAAGGCAATGTAGCCATGCTTAAAAGACTGGAATTTTACAAGAAGAAACAAAAACGGAGGATGGCCTATCAGAGCAATAGGAGTAAAGTTAAGAACATTTTCTCCACTGGGATTCCCTTCAGGAGAACTTTTCTGCCCCACAATGAAATGGACTGTATTTAATTTCTATAAGGGAAGTTATCCTCTTGCAGTCATGCTTCTCAAACTCTTAGCATCTATTTCCCAAGGACATTCAAAGGTACAGGATAAACATGGTATCTTTTCCTAAGGAATCAATGTTACTGAATGGTAAGAAGCTAAAAAATGTCACTGACAAATTTCAATATTAAAACAAAGATATATCATGGAATAAAATATAAGCTGCATTAGTTTTAAAGATACAGCATGAGACTAAAGAAATAGTCTTAAATGTGCTTAAAGCTGTGTTGCGCCCTGAACACCTACTCCTCATCTTTCAGTTACTCATATATAGATATCTGAGAAACAATACCTAGAAAATCACATATACATTTTAAAAATTTTTATATGAACAAGTTTTCCAAAAAAGGGAGCAAAATAGTAATTTGTAGCTGTAATTATCATTTCCCTTTATTTATTTATCTCTTCAGATGTAAAATATAGATACTTTTTGTTCAGTTTATTTTATATGAAATATAAAATATTCAAACTAACATGTCCTCAAGGCCTTATAAGGAGCCAAATGCCTTATATGGACATATGCTATGGGAATAATGGGATATGACTGCATGTAATCTGCATTTTACCTGATCTTCCATTCTCTCTGTGCCTTCTAAGACAATCTTCTGGACATTTTCTTGCCTTTCCTAATCAAAAGAAAATTTATTTATTAAAAAGCCACAGCATTTGAATACTTAGTTTTTCAATATAGATATGTTCTGTGTAATTTACTTTGTAGAAAAAAATATTCTCTAGAGGGAGCTAAAGGGAGCAAGGCAGGATGAACCCAACAAACCCATGCTTTCATAGATAGTATAAAACAAAATACCCTTTATTCTGCAGTGAAAAAAGAAATATAATTTAGCAGGAAACAATCAAGTTTACACCTGCAGTTTCAAAAAGGAACATAACAAAGCATTTTTAAATGAAACAAAATCAAATTGAATCTGAGGAATACAGAGCTTGTTTATTTTAAATGATTTTCATAAACATGAGGAATAAGGAGGTGAGTCTACAAAGAGCAAATACCTATTCTTTAAAGGTGCTATTTCTCCTTACCATCAGTTAGAAGCCTTATACAATTAATAATGCCTTAATAAGACTTTCAGGTTAGTATTAAATTGGAAAGTAGGAAGAAAACTTAAATTTGTTCTTTCAAAATGCTAAAAGAATACTGAAATATAAATATGATTATATATTAGAGTACAGGATTTAGTGGGAAATGATAATTCCCTCTAGCTTAACCTGCAAAATTAAAAGGAATATTATCTCCTAGAAACTGTTTGGTCCAACCTTCTCATTTTATAAATTTGGGAACTTGGCAAGTTAAAGGGACCAAAGGTTCCTGGCAGATAGTTTCTGAAACAAATGTTCTAAACTATTATACCTACACATTGTAGCAAGCACAAGACAAGGTCATGCAATGAAATAAAAATAAAAATGTTTTAGAGTCAAAGGCTCCTAAGACAAATCTAAACTCTAAAAATTTCTTTTTCTCTAAGCTTTAGCTTTTTGTTTGTAATACAGTGTTACCACCTCCTGCCTTCCATGATTACTGTGAAGACAAATTCATCTATATCTAATGGGGTAGACATAAAATATATGTTGGCTATGTCAAATGTTAAATGCATGTAATTTCTAAAAATTAGATAAATGTGTCTGAAAATAAACTCTGAATGGCTATGTTAGCATGATTAACAAGCTGAGAAACCACTCACCTTATGCATCCATATCCTTCCTTTCCGAATAATATGTGTTAATCTATCAACACACACTCTGTGAAGTGGGAGATAGAAACTAAGCTCCGTCTGTGGAAGTATAATTGATAGTCCATAAGTACTCCGATCTCCATTCCAGTTTCCGTCGAAGATTAATGAAACAATAATTACTCCTTTTTCAGACAAGACAAAAAACTTTACATCTATAGCCCCACTCTCTGCATTTCGAAGAATTTCTCCATTTAGGGTGTGGTTGGCAAGAAAAGTTATTTCTCCATCACTGAGAAGTACCTGATCTGTCTTAGGGGCCCAAATATGCCTTACTCTAGGACCAAGAATATTGTCCCAGTAAGCAAAGGTAGCTGCTAATAAAGGTGATTCACCACTTAAAGCAATCTCTGTCTTGGCAACAGCAGGAGATGGTGGTGGGCAGAGAGTCGACATCACTGCATCCCAAATTTCACATTATCCAAATGTTCCAGAGATATCTAGATGAGGGCATACAAAGCAATGATTAGGTTCAGCAATTTTAAAGATATCCATCCAAACCCCCAAAGAGACGAATATTATAACTAAAGCTCATATAACAGACGATTGTTCCCCAAATATCTGGACTTTGTGCAATTCTATCATGATTAGATATTTGGTTCTTAACCATTATAACTAAAGAGGGGGAAAAATGGGAAGGGGAAGTCTCAGCTAGACATGGTGACACTTCTTGTGGGTTGGTTTTGAACCCCAAAAGATAGGTTCAAACGCTAACCCCTTATATATGTTAATGTGACCTTATTTGGAAATAGGTGTAATTAAGTTAAAATGAGGTCATATTAGATTAGAATGGGTTCTAATTCAGTGGGCTTCTAAGGGGAAAGAGAGAGATTTGGAGACATGTAGACACAAAGGAAAGACAGCCATGTGAAGACTAGAAGATAGAAACTGAATGATGCAACCACAAGCCTAAGAATGCCAAGGACTATAAGTAACACCAGAAGTGGAAGGCACAAGGAAGCTTCCCTACAGCCTGTAGGATCATGTTCCTGCTGATACTGGACTTCCAGCTTCCAGAACCCAGAGAGAATGGATGCTATTTTAAGTCTAGTTTGTGATGCCTTATTACCCTAGCCATCTGACAGTAGAAATACCTTAAACCTGCTAAAAAAATTTTTTTTTCATAAGATGACAAAATCATGTCTGAAGCTACAACAACAACAAAAATGATTAAAAAGTTTGGTTATCCTTGACAAACTCTCTGGGAATCAGGATACTAAAGCTCAATACTAGTAAAAATACTGGTAAAAACACTGACAGGTGAAAACAAAGATAAATACATTTAATACATTAGTAAAGAAAATGGTATAGTACTTTACCATTGTGAAGAGAGTTCTATACTAAGTGGCTAAAATAAATGCTTTAGTTATTAGAATAGGAAAAAACAAACAGAACGGATGAAGCCCATTCAAAGCTTTCAATCTGCTGAGGAAACAGACATGGAGAACACAAACAAGCTTGCAGCCAAGCTAGAATGCAGGGCTCAACTCATATATCTTGATCCACTCAAAGATATCACTCTGAAAGTGTATATTCTATGTAATATTAGTGTAAACCTAACCAACCTTGCAAGTACTATAATTGAAGACTTATAATCAAAGACTGAAAGTGAGAACCATTAGGACAATTTCATTTAAGCAAGTCTAAAATTATGGATTCTATTATCATAATGTAATGGAGAGCAGCTACAGGTGAATGCTGATATACCTGTTTGATGACTTTGGAGCTAACATTTGATCTATAACAAAATTTGTGTCAAATTAAACTATTTTACATTAAGGAATTTTATCTACATATTGTCAAGAGAGTTCAGAGTCTTATGAAAAGCAGTGACTTCTATTTTTAAAGTCTGTGGTGAATATTTTTATCATACTATGAAAAGGCACACAAACTATGGCAAAACACTTAATGGTGAAGTATGTACGAAAATAGTTAACAAAAAACAGTATTTGCCTGTGTGTTTTTAATTTCAAAACTTCATTTAGGTAATATTTGTGTTTTAGTATATGTCAATTTAATAAGTCTTAAAAGGCCACAATGGATATGAGCTCTATCGCTTGTTAAAAATATCTACTGTTTTGAATATAACTTCAACAGTCAGTTTACAATGACTGAATACAACAAGGTAATCTGAGTTGGAACTGTAATGATGCTTTTGCTGTCACTATCAACAACAGCAAATGGGAAGCAGAGGCAATAAAGTAAACACATAGCCATAAAATCATACTGTAAAACATTTCTCGTTTATTCTTTCTTTTTGGATAAAAAGGTGAAAATCAAAAAGGCAACATTACAACTCAAATTATTATATTGAAATTAAAAGAATTTCCTAAATAGGATTGAGAGCTATAGCAAAATCTGATTGAAATATGAGAAAACCTTTTACCTGATTGTGAGAACTAAATTACTAACGACCACTAATTACATTCAGTCTCACTCCTAGTATTAGAAAGAAGATGAAGGCTAAAGATCATGTTGAACTGCTTAGCTTTAAAAGTTGACAAGCAAGAAATACAGTAGTTGCCCCTTATCCTTGGGGGATACCTTCCAACTGGATCCCTGAAACTACAGATGGCACCTCTCTCTATATACTGTAAACTCCAATTTATGAATTAGGCACAGTAAGAGATTAACAATAAAATAGAATTGTAGCAATATAATAAGTTATGTGAATGTTTTCTCTCTGAAAATATTTCATTGTACTATACTCACCTTCTTCTTCCTATGATAATGGGAGATAATACAATGAATATGTAATAAGCACATATGTGACATATGTGCTGTGACTCAGCTTTAGGCTACTAATGACCTTCTGATGATACATCAGGAGGAAGACATCCACTTCAAGTGATCCTGGATCATTGAATCATGACAACGTTGATGTTAGATGTTAGCAGGAGACTACTTTGATGGTTGAAGATCTTCCAAGTTCAAGGGAGTTTTCTGGAAGAAAATTTAATCAGAAGTTGTTGTCTCTTTCTAACTCACAGGGTTGCTGCAGAGGTTTTAATACTATGGGTGACTTTAATGATGTTCTATCTGAAGGTAGTATTCCATAATTTTGCCCTTTAATGTCTGTGCAATTTCAAATACTTCAGCAAATTTTAGAAATGTTCAGGTTGCTAGTTCTGTTTCAGTTTCATCTTCCTCTTTCTCTGCAGATTACTAAATAAGTTCTTCTGATTCCTCATTTTTAAAACTTCCCAAAGGCCCTCAATGTTTTTCTACTTCTTCATCCAGCATTTTGGCAAATCCTTCTCCACCAATTTGTCTTACAGCTTCTCCAGCAATTTTTGTATACTGCAGTAAATGGCTTGGTGCCACATGTTTCAGAAACCTGCTGATGCCTTTGTGTAAGTTCAATGCTTTCTGGTACAATGTGCTGCCGTCACTCAGAACACATTTTCTGTTAGTCATATATCCACAAATTAAATGTGTTTTCCATCTTAACTAAGCACTTATCACACACTGTGGCTGTAACTTTTGTAATTTGAGGTATACCAGCAAGACTAGCATAGTACTTTTTCCTTCTTCACAATTTCACAGAGAAAAGATTCATTTTTATCATAGATCTTAGCAATGTCAACATATAGGGTTTTTTCTTTCCTTATTGAGAACTTTTACCTTTTCACTTAAAGAAAGGAACTTATGGCATTTTCTCTTGCATATCCAAATTGCCAGCATCTTTACTCCTGTGTTTTGCGCCATTATTAATTAAAATAAGGGTTACTTGAACATAAGCACTGCCATACTATGACAGCCTATCTGACAACCAAGATGGCTACTAAGTGACTAAAGGGCAGGTAGCATTACAGTGTGGGTACACTGGACTGTTCAAGGACAGCTGGACAAAGAGACGAATCATATATTGGGTGCAAGAGAGCAGAAAGGTGTAAGACTTCATCAGGCTACTCAGAATGGCATGCAATAGAATTTTTCATGTATTATTTTTTAACTATATTTGAACACATAAACTGAAATCATGGATAAGGTGGGACTACTATAACCTAAGAAATGAAATGTCACAGAGAAGTATAATTAGGAGAGTTGTAAAAATTAATTTAATGCTCGAATCATCTTTGGTAAGAAAAACCCATATGTACAAATGTGGCAAAAAAACGTTCAGCTGAAAACTAATATTTTTATCTACATATTTTATGTACATGTAGTGTTGGCTACTCCAGGTTATCTAACATTAGTCATATAGTCTTTTTAGGGAAGCAAGGATCCAAATTGGGTGAGATGGTGGTTTGTCATTCCTATAAACAAAGAACAGGGTTCATGAGGGTTTACCCAATACACTTCCTAAAAATAATCCAACATATGCAGACATATTATATTAATTAGCATCTATTTAATCTATTAGCATATTGGTAAATTTGAGCTTTTGCTTCTTTAAACTTTTGCTAAAAATCAGATATCTCTTTCCTGATTGATATTTGGAAAGTTGACTGGTCCACTGCTGTGAATCAGAATTCTTCCATGATAGGCTCTCATTCCCTATAACAATGCTTTCTGTTTATTTTTCCCAGACCCAAGAGAAGCAGGGTCCTAAACCAGCCCACTTCCAAAACATGGGCTGCCTATGGCCACTTTAAGGATAGTGAACTGCTTAAAACACTTTCTAAATTTTTAACATCAGGCATTACTCAGAGATGAAGTTCCTAATATCACTATCGAGCCATCTCTCACTGATCAAAGTTTCTCAGATTAACAGGTAAATTAATCTATCACCCCTTGGAAGTACGCAATTAACACTGAACCAATAATAATCTTGAAAGAAAGGAGTCTCCATTTTTTTTTAATCTCTTTCTCTGAAAGTAAACTTCAGACTGCTAACATAGCCAAATAGAGATTTTATTAATTTCTCAAGTGGAATGTAATTGTTTCCTGGAGGAGGTAAATACTGGCTTGGTTCACAATCAAGAATATAGTCCGAAATTTTTCTCGCTTTTGTTTCATAAAGAGCACAGTCATACTGGGGCAATTTCCAACAGATTCAGTTTTCTTAAAGTGGCAAGGACATGGTGGAGGTGCTGGTTAACAGCACTTGTGTAACAGAGGTTTCAGATACCTGTGGTCAACCTTGATCCCAAAATATTAACTAAAAATCCCCCCCATCCCCAAATAATAAGTTTTAAATAGCACACCATTCTGAGTAGTGTGATAAAATTCACTGTCTGCTCCAAGGATGTGAATCATCCCTCTGTGCTTTGTATTCATATAGATATATTCATATATATATTCATATACACTACCTGCCCATTAGTCACTCAGTACTCCTCTTGGTTATTATCATAAGACTGTCTAAGTATCAAAGTGCTGGGTTCATGACAACCTTTATTTTACTTAATAAAGTTGAAAGTACAATGATATTTTTAGAGGGAGAGAGAGAACAATCATAGAACTTTTATTACAGTATTTAGTTATAATTGTACTATTTTATTATTAATCTCTTGTGCCCAATTTAAACTGGATCATGTTTGTATGTAAAGGAGAAAACAGTATATATAGGGTTATATACTATATATTTACGATCTGTGGTTTTAGGCTTCACTGGAAACCTTCTTATGTATACACTAAAGATAACTACTCTGTATTTCAAATATCCTGGTTCCATATAGTTTTTTTAAAAAAATTTTTAGTTGTAGATAAACACACAGTATCTTTATTTATTTTTATGTGGTGCTGAAGATTGAACCCAGTGTCTCACACATGCGAGGCAAGTGCTTTGCCGCTGAGCTACAGCCCCAGCCCCAGGTTCCATATAATTAATACCCCATATGTCATAGTCTTGTTTTCTGTGATGCTCCCAGATTATGCTAAAAGTTTCCCAAAGTTTGTTGAAGATCCTAACAGTCCTTTTTTGAACGGTTTGTACAAAGTAAAAGTAGTGCCTAATTGTGTACTCTCGCCTTGCACCACTGGTGATGGACAGGAACAGAATAAACAGAATTTATTCACCTGCGCCTAAGAATCTGGATGTCTGAAAGAGGTAACCCTCCTAGGCCAATGCACGAGACTTCCCACCTTTTCCTGAACACAAGTCCTTGTGGAATTCACCCTGATTAGAGAGACCCTGTGTGGACGCAGACATGTAATCAGTGCACTTCTTTCTGGAACAGATTACCATCAGCCAAGTGATACCTAAGTCACAAGAGTCACTTCCTTTAATAAATGTATGCAATCTCGGAGCTGTGAAGCAACCAGGCCATGTCTCACAGACTGGGAGTACACTCTGCCTAGCACTGCTGCCCACATTTACAAAACAGCACTCCTCACAAACTTCTACTGATAATCTGCAGGCGACCAGTAGTCCGTTCACACCCCATCGCACCCGGAGCTGTCTCCTCTCGGCAGGAGCCCTCTCCGGCTCGCCCAGATGGGCCGCGCGCACTCCGGCTTTCCGCGGGCCAGCCCCTTCGGTGCCCGAGGCTCCCTTCCTTGAGCCCGCAGCGGAAGCGCAGCTGGAGGTTGCCCCGGGTCTCGGGAAGAGGCCGGCTCGAGGCCTGCGGGCGAAAAGCCGGGGGAGGCCCGAACCCATCCCTGTCTCCGTGCCACCGCCGCCGCCGGGGGCCGGGATGCAGGCGGCCCTACTACGCCAAAGCCGGAAAGCCCCAAGGCGGCTTTCAGTCCGGGAAGAGAATGAGTCGAGCGCCGGGAGAAAACCCGCGATCGCCCCAGTGCCGACCCGGCATGCTGACCCCAAACTGCTGGTCTAGGACTCGCCAGCTGTCCACTCACCCACTCGCCGCCGCCAGAACCTCCGCCACCGCCGCGGGCGCAGGGACCGCAACCGCAGCCCCGCCCCCGACCCGCCCCCGGCCCGCCCCTCGCGCGTCCTACAACTACCGCACCGCCCCACGCCGCAGTTCCCCTTTCGTTCTCTTCTGGTTAATATTTATCAGTTCGTTCCATGTTCGCTCTTTGCGAATACTACGAAAGAAAGTGGAGGGCAGGAAGGGCGGGAAAACAAAAACACACACCACCTGCTCTAGTTAGACCCGCCCCTAAAGAGAAGGAACAGGGCAGCAGGCGTGGCTGACGCGCCGAGCGCCATCTTTTACGTGGGCGGAACTTGTCCCTGCTTGACGCACGCCTATTTCCTAGTAGGACACCGTAGAACACTCTTTGACATTTTCAATTTGCGAATGTCGTTGACGCGTGGTGAAAGGAGGCGTCGGGGCGGGCCGGGCCGACTTGCTGGTTCTTTTTCCGAAGACGTGCTGCGTGAAAAATGTTATTGTGGCGTTAACCTAGATAGGTGGTGTGGCAGTAGTAGGGAAATCTGGACTCTTGAGAAAGCAGAACAGAGTAAGTGGTTGTCAGGTAGTGGACGTGCAACAAATATTTGATGAATGAGCGCTCCCCCCCGCCTTTACCATATGGTTAACTAGAACACGTTTATGACTCCATGACAAGCACAATATATTAGGCATTACCCCTCATAGGTCGTCACTGCAATTTTAGCATTTTCTCAAGCATGATTGCCATACTTGTAAACATCATTTTTGCTAACGCACAATGTGAATAGTTTTTTTTTTTTAACCTTGGAAAAATGCACTTTACCTTTATGTGTGATATGCATGGTGATTCTTTTGTTCTGAAAGTGTGCATATACCTCTTTTGTCTTGCAGATGAATAGCACTTAACTTTTTTCAACATTAAAAGTCATGCAGTAATGTTTTTTATTCCCAGAAGAAGAGAGAAATACACAAAGTACTTTCCATCAGTCTATACCTTCAGACCCCTTACTTACTGTTATATGCTAAGTGGTTACCATTTGTCAAGTTTTCACACTATGTTTTGTATTATGTTCTTCATTCCATAAGGAATTATACCTCACTTATATGTGAAATTGAATGCATAGAAACAGTAGAACCATGGTTGGGAGGCCAGAATGGGACTGGGAAGCTGTGGATCAAAGGGTAGGAAGTTTTAGTTATGTCAGATGAGTAAGTCTAGAGACCCAATGTACAACACGATGGATAAATAGTTAATATTGTATTCTATACTGGAAAATTGCTAGGAAAGTGGGTTTTAGGTACTAGCATGCACAAAGGTAACTATGAGACAATAGGTCATTAATTTTTTGACTGCAATAATCACTATATATGTCTGTTGAAAAATCATGTTATGTACTTTAAATATAAACAATAAAAAAGAATTACACTTAGTTTTCCTGACATCTTTGGGCTATAGGCATTACTCTTGTTTTTCCCTTAGGAGATCATGAGGGGTCAGAGAGAGTAAATTATTTGCTCAAGGCCACCCATTTAATTGATTCTGTACAGTATCCAGCAATTTCAGGGCCCTTGATGTGCTTAGGACATCAGCCTGATACCAGGTCGATGACAGTCTTTCTCAGGTAACACCTGTGGTGATTAATACTAACACCTCTATTTCAGAGTAAGATTGGAACTTGGATTAAGTGCCTAGGGAAGGAATACAACTCCTAAAATAGTTTTTCCTACTTCAAAATTTTGCCTAGAAACAAAATAATTCCATTGTCTCCAACGGATTTCTGGTTTGTGCAGAACAGTTTCATTATAGAAATAATGAAACACAGAGGCCTAAATTCTGCATAACTCTGAGAAAAAAGATAAGTGGTAATACAAAAGTGGTGCACACCTATAATCCCAGTGCCTGGGGAGGCTGAGGAGCATGTTTTCCAAGTCAGCCTCAGCAAAAGCAAGGTGCTAAGCAACTCGGGTTGAGACCCTGTTTGTAACTAAAATACAAAATAGGGCTGGGGATGTGGTTCACTAGTTGAGTGCCCCTGAGTTCATTCCCTGTGGGCCCCACCCCCACCCCAAAGTAGTGCTTTGTATGCATGATGTTTTGTGCTCAATGAATGTGAATCTTTTCCCCTATATCTAAATGAACAATTATTTAGCCTTTGTGTAGCAGTGCAGTAGCTTGTATATTTTCCATTGATGTGAAGCAAAATAATAAAATCAGGAGTGAAAAAATAATTATAATTCAGTAAGGTGGTTCATAGTGCTTATATTGCCTTAAGGTCTAGAATTGGAGGACAAGTATTCTAGCATACATCCCTTCTTCAGAAAACCAAACAGAAAAATGATACTAAGTTTTTAGTAAGGTGATCCATGTTAGCTCACCAAAGAATCATTTGGAAGGACTTTAATCCTTATCGCCTCCAAACTCTTAATCTTCCCAGAGAAACCACCTCAACTAATTCTACCATCTTATTGAAAATGAGCTTTGCTATATATCCATCTCAGGAATCATAGTCCCATATTTTCCAATCAGAATGACGATTTTAAACCCCTATGTAGAAATGTTTGAATTATCCACATAAAATTAGCATTCAATCATAGAAAGTGGCCTCTCTAAGGGAACAGTAAAGTAGATAGAAACAGAGCTGCTGTAAGTATTGTTTCTGCTTTTGATTACTTATGAAACTTGGGGCAGTACTTCTCTGTGACTCAGTTTCTTTAGCCACAAAATGGCATGCGTAATAGTTTCTCACAAGGTTGTGAAACTTGTGCAATTAAGCAAGCTAAGAATTTAGAAAAGTACATTCAAGAAGCGATGACTCTAATCTCAAATTTAGTAACTATCCAGGGATAATAGAAGCAATAACAAATGAGTTATAAGTTTTTTGAGTTATGTACATATTTATATTTTTCATAAATATTATATCTTAACCCAAAGAACATTCCTGCTGCCTCAGAAGTGCCAGTTGTTTCTCATCCTATCTATTAATGTGTTTCAGAAATGTAATATCTGCTGCTTTAGAGTTGGAGCTGAGGGTTTGCTGATTAGCTCCCATTTACCAAGATTATAGCAAATTAGATTTAACTGTGATTGGCGTGTGAACAATCTGATGTTGGACATGGATGAGGAATATTGCTATATGAACCACAGTGCATTTAGTTTCTTTTAAGTAATAAGATTTTATGTGGTTGCTTAAATCATTGCAGACTTAAAATATGCACTTTATGGTACATTACCTTTTGGTGAAATCTGAGTGAACCAACACACGATATAGGTTCATCCAGGTGTAAGCTTGATTCTTAAATATGGAAAGGTAGTTCCATGAGCCAAGTGTGATGTAATGATTTAGATAGATCTCTTTCTGTCTCTCTGGAGCCAACATAATATAGGCAACACCCCTGCAAGAGAATGTCATTAAGATCCAATTATATTTCTCTTCAGCTCCTCCTGGGACTCACAATTCTATAAACAATAAGCCCATAATCCTCTCAATGAGAGGAATTTCATCATCTACTAGGAATTAGCCTCTGTTCCTTCCACGTTGGTGTTCTGTATCTTATGAAAAACAGTTGTGAGTGACATAAGGCCTGAATTAGAGTTCCCGGATAGCGGTGGGTGGCTCATCAGTACACACAAAATGAAAAAAAAAAAAACAAGATGTGGGAAAATAGAGCACCATCTTCTTAAATTTTAAGAGGAGCTGGGGTTGTGGCTCAGTGGTAGAACCCAGCAAGCTTGAAGCACTGGGTTCAATCCCCAGCACCACATAAAAAACGAAATAAACAAAATAAAGATATTTTTAAAAAATCTAAAAAGCACTAGTTTATGGAGGAGAAGAGAATTTGAAATGCTCTAATTTCTTTAGAGGTTGAGAGAAGTTGTATTTGATAGGCTGGTGGCTATATGGGATGGACTTTAGATGTGATGAATAGTGCACTCTGATGCTTTTGATGCTGCTCTATATGCCTGAGTCTCAGGGGACCTGTTCGGTTGAGCCACAGGATTCTCAATGGCAAGGACTCCCTTTTTAGCCCTGCATTTTCTAAACCCAGCTCAGAATATCTTCCTGTGCACATCTGCCTCATTTTACCCTTCAACTTGCAACTCTCTGTTTGGATTTATGCTTGAACTTTATTGTGCTTACTGACATGCTGCTTTGTAAGCAGGTTCTTGAGTTATTTTTCATGTAGTGTGCAATAGTTGCCTCTCAACTTTGTCACGGAACCATAGGCTTGCAATTTCACCCATTGACTCATTTTTTTAGCATGTGTCAGATGATTAGCAATGCCAGGTGGTTGATTGAAACTTCACTCCAGCTACTCAGGAGTGTATTCTTGGCCCAGAGCTCCTGTGATGCAATTGCTTCTTTTTGAAAATAGCTTTTGCCTTTATTTGAGAGTCAGGTCACACTGATTTAAAGTGGGTGAGAAGCTATGGGGGAACTAATATCTCTATTGTCATCAGTGTAGCCTCTTTGCTAGTGTCCTTGCCCCTACTATTTCAATAAAGAAACGAAAAAATCTGATGACGCACATATGTAATTTTAGCTACTGGGGAGACTGAGGCAGGAGCATGGCAAGTTTGAGGTCAGCCTGGGCAACTTAGTGAGACACCATCTGGAAAAATATGGGGGTGTGATGGGGGTGTAGGGATGAGGATGTAGCTCAGTGGTGGAGTACCCTTGTGTTTAATCTCCAATACCAGGGCAGCGGGGAAGAAACTTAAAAAAAAAAAAAAAAAAAAAACATAACTAATGTCTCTGGACTAATTTAAGTTATTTAGTTTTCAAGTGTTTTGACATCTGGTAAGTTTTGACATTTGCCTTTTTTCTTCATTAAAATTATCTTGACAAACTTGTCCCTTTCTCTTCCATATAGTTGTAAGGTTTGATTGCCTGCAAATTTTCCACAAATAACTTTGTTATAGTCTTATTGGAGTTGTGTGAATTTATAGATTCATTTCTTTTCTTTCCATTTATGA